GCCGCCGATGTCCAGGGCAGGGTCCCCCGGGGGCACGCGCGCCGGGCGCGGCGGAACCGAAGGGAAGACGAGCCCCGGGAGCGAGGCGGATGACATGGTCACCGCCGGTCGGGGGGGGGGGGGCGGAAAACAGAGAAGTCGCGGGCGCATGCGCCCGCATGCGCTCTCGGAACTATGAGTCCCCGTCCGCCCCGGCCAGGGCCCGAGGTTGTCGCTGGACCCGGTTCAGGCGGCGGGTTGTGTGGTTTCCCCAAAATTTTGAACCGCCCTCCGGCTCCCCGGCCCCTTCCCTCCCCGGCATGCAGGGACATGCGCGCGCATGGAAGTCCCCCTGGCCGGCCAGCCGGTCCGAGGACCGGTGTAATGGTGGTGGTGACTGTGAGGGCCCCAGAGAGGGGAGCGCCTGCACGCACGCACGCACGCACACACACACACACACACGCATGCACTTGCAACCCGCCACACAGGGCTCGAGCCGTCACTACTCAGGGGCCATGCCCGGGGTGGTGGCGCTTTTCCGGGCGACCGTGGTGCGATGCCGCCCCGAGCGAGCGTAGCCCGGCACCCGGCCCCCCCCCCCCCCCCCCCCCCGGGGGACATAGGGCCACGCATGCACACACGCGGACTCGCGCGTGCGCCCTTTCGCAGAAGCACGCATGTGGGTGACCCGCACAGGGGCCTGGCGGCGGCTCACCAGGGGGTGGGGGCGGGGGACATGCACTCCCAGGCCGAGCGCGAGCGCACGTCGAAATTAAGCGCGACCCTCACAGGGAGAGGGGGGGGGGGGTAAGGGACGCCAAGGTCAAGACCCTGCACGCCGGGGGGGGAGGCAGCCGGGCAGGGCAAACACGGACACTAACTCCGGGAAAAGGACACGCGCGGGCCCCGGGAAAGCAAGGGCAGGCCGCGGGCGGGGCCGGGGCTGGGGGGGAACCAAATATTTACATGGAAGCAACACCCCCAGCACGCCGGCGCAGGGCATGCGCACCCCGCCGGGTGCGAGACAAAACCCAGTCGCCCGACCTCGCTTCGTCTCTCGGAGGCAGACCGATGTCTCCGGCGCCGCGCGTGTCCTCAGAAAAAAAGGAAGAAGGCACACGCACGCAGAGACAGACGCCGGGCCGGAGGGCACACCCTCCCGCAGCATACGCCCGCCGCGAGGCGGGGCGGGGAGGGGGGGGGGTGCGCAGACTGGCACGCACACGGGGCCCGAAAGCGACCCTTAGGGGGCCAACTGAGAGACCCCGGGGGGGCGTGCGTGGGAGCCCGTTCTCCTCGGCGCCGGGGCACCGGGGGCGCGCGGGGAGAGCGCGGGGCTGCGCGCCTGCCCCCATGCGGCCCGGGGCCAAGATGCGGCCCCCGTGGGGGGGGGGGCAGGGCAGGAAGGGGGAAAGAGCAAGAAACCGCCCGGCCCTGTGTGCCCCCCCCCCCTCCCCGACAAGCGCACTCGACCGCGGCCGACACCCCGATGGGCCAGGGAGAAAGTGCGCGGCCGGCGCGCAGCGCCCAAGCATGCGCACGACGGAATATACGCTCACATGCGTGCGCATGCGCAAGCCCACATGTGCGCGCACCGGGGGGGGGGGGGGGGACGCATGCATGCGTCCTTGGTGCGCAGCTGCCCCCGGCGCGTCGGGGCCGGTCGGGGGAGCCGCCCTGCCCGAGCGGCTCCGGCCCCCGCCCCCGCGCCCCCGCCCCCGAAGGGGGCAGCCGCGCACGGCCGAGGGCTGAAACGGCGCCCCCGGCAAGCGGGGGGAATGTCACCACGGACGCTGGCCGGGATAGGGGGGAGGGGGAGCGAAGCGGCCAGGCTCGCCGCCGGGGGCCCAGGGGCAATGGTGCGCCCTACCCCGGCGAAGGCCCAACTGCCGGGGGGCAGGCGATGACTCACAGCGCATGCTGATGAACTCACCGCGGCTGGGGAGCCTGTCGGGCAGCCACCCTGCTCTCGGCGGAATTCCGGGAAGCATATCTCCCGGCCGGTGCTCGCCCGGGGAGGGGGGGAATGATGACACACAATCGGCTCAACAATTCCGGCCTCCCGGGCCGGGCGGGCGGGAGACTGTGCCTCCGGGCCGCCCTTCCTCCGGCTCGGGAGACGGGGCGCGTGGCACAGTGCGCGGCCCGCCCTCCTCCCCTCGCGGCCGGGGGGGGGGGGCATGGCCTCCGAGGACTGGGTCAAGCGAGGCGGGCAGCCCAGCCAGCCAGCCAGACAGCCAGTCGCGCCAAGACACAGCCGCTCGCTTGGCTCCCAGGTCTACGACCAGACGCCCGGGAGCCCTTCGGTGGCATGCAGCGAGGGGGGATACCGCGCTTGCCTCCAGCGTCCCGCGCCCCCGCGCCCCCACGCCCCCACGCCCCCGGGGGGGCAGCGGGTTGGGGGAGGCGGGCACACCTTCGAGGAGCCAGGTGCGCCAGTGCTCGCCCCGGTGGTTGCGCGGCGCGCCCATGCATGAGGTCGTTCACGGCGACCCGGGGCAGGCAGGGCGAGCAAGGCACCTCCCCCCGCCCGGCCCCCGTGTCCCGCCGCCCGCCCCCTCCCTCGATGGCCCCAACCGGAAATGACTGGGCCCGGCCCAGGCGGGGGCCATACACGGGCCTGGCGGGCGTCGGAAATATTCCGAGGTCCGCGGCCGCCCGCATGTAAGGAGGGTGCCTCGTGCCCAGGCCGGGCCAGGCCAGGGCGGCAAACCGCCCTGCCAGTTTGACCGGCTTCCCAGGCCGGGCCAGCCGCGGGAGGAAGGAGGGCCTGTCGGGGGCGGGCGGGCGGGCGGGCGGGCGGGGGGGGGGCGCGGAACCCCGCCTGCCCGATGCACGGCCACCAGAAAAAACGCGGGGCGCGGATGGGGCACAGGGGGAACCGCCCAACCCCCTGGGGAGGGGCCTTCGCGATGCGCGGTCCGTCCCACTGGTGAAACAGTGAGCCTGGGCACGCGCACACACACACGTCGCGCCCACGGGCAAGGGCGCGCATGCAGGGGCCCCGCCGTCGCCCCCCTCCCTCGCAGGGAGACCAGCTCCGCCCGGTTGGGAGGGGCTCTCACACCGAATACAGCCCCCCTTCATCCGCACGATGGCCCAGGGGGGGGGACGAGGGAGAGGAAGACGGAGACCCCTCGAACATGGGTGCACAGGCACCACGCACGCAGGGTGACGCGCCCCTCGGCCAATGGCCCGGACACGGCGCCCCGTCCAAGGACCAGCTCCCAGGCCCAAGACGGATGACTGGGGGCGGATTCCCCGTACGGCCTGCATGCACTCCCGGTCCCTCCGCCCGCCCTCCGGCTCCGCACCGGCCCGAGTGAGCACAGGGCGAGGGTGCGAGGGCCGGGGAAAAGCGGCCCCTGACCCTAATCGGGGCTGGGGTTGCCCCTCTTCCCAGCCGCCGGGCGAGGGTTGCAAGTTGGGGGCAAAGTAGGGCCCCGCGCAGGCGACTGGCACGACGACAGCAGAAGGACCCCCTCCCCGCCCCTTCCATCCCGCCAGCCCCTCTCGGGACGTTGGCGGCAGTAGTGATGGTGGGGGAGCGGGCGGCCCGGCCGCCGACTTCGGCAACCTGACAGCCCTTGTTTTTCGGCCCGGGGGGGGGGGGGGAGGGGGCCTGCCCACTTCTCGCGCGCGGGTCAAAAAACCGCCAAGGAGGGGGTCGGTCCCGCACGACGCCGGAGCTCGGCGCCCCAACACCCAACACGGCGCCCGTCCGCTTGCCCCCTACCTCGCTCCCTCTCGCAAGGCGGACACAAGGGGGGGGGGGGGGACACAGGGAGGACCCAGGTTCTCGAAGGGCTCCCTCGCCCCCGGCCGGGGCACGCATGTAGTCCCCTGCCGGTCGTCACACCTAGCGAGAGGGGGGGCGCTGGAAATCCCATGCTCGAGGCCTGGCGGACGCTCCCCCCCCCCCCTCGGGCACACGCAGCCGCCACGGCGGAGCACCTCCCCTCCTGGAGAAGGGACAACGGAAGACGGGGCTGGGAGGGGGGGGAGAGAGAAGGGAGAAGCGGCCCCGCGGCTGGGAGAAGCCAGCCCGTGCGAAATCAACATGGTGGACATGTGACCGCGCGCGTCCGACGGAGCGCCTGCGCACGGGACATACGGTGTGTCGGTCATGTGTCGCTGTTTCACTCAGCCCTCCATGCCCACAGTGGGGGGGGGAAGGGGGGAAGAGGAGGGAGGGCGAGGGAGGGTGCGTGCCGCGGGGTCCCCTGCCCCCCCTCCCCCCCCCTCCCGGCGGGTGAACCGACGCAGAGCGGCAGGCGACCGAACACAGACGAGCGACCGGGCAACCAAGAAGCGTGGCACGCGCAGAAGAAGAGGACCGACCCCTCTGCCTGGTTGGGAGGAGGGGGGGCGCACACGCTCGCCCAAAGAGACGGGGAAGCACATGGACTCGGGAGGGAAACATGCCCAGAAGCGAGGCAAAGGAGAGGCAATGGAGGGGGGCGCGGGCTTGCCACAACGGAGGGCTCTCCGACGGGCCTACTCTTCCCTCGGTGGGCGCACATCACTCAGGCAGAGAGGCGCAGTGAGTCTGGCTCCCGGAGGCCACGCTGGGAAGTATGTAGGTGCCCAACGGACAAAACAACATACACACACGCACACATGTACACACGCACACATGTACACATGCACTCACATATGCACTTACACAAACATACACACACATCACTCGGGGCATCATAGCCGCCAGTTGGGAAAAGGGAAGGGCGCGAAGGGTGGAACGGGGGGAGCGATGGACGGGGGAGGGGGGAGAGAGAGAACAACGCAGGAGGATATACACAATGGTTGTGCATCCCCACGCCGACGTGCGGGGTCGTGCACACGCGCGCGTGGCGAAGCGCTGCTGTCGCCTGAGCCCCCCCGCTGCGATCACCGCCACCACCGCCACCACCAGGGCGAGCTGCCTTTTTTCCCACAGGTGGGCTCTTTTTTGGGGGGAGGAGAAGGGAAGATTGGAGGAGGGGGGGGGGATGGGAGGAGTGACGCACCTGGACCGAGTTCCAGAAGAAGACTTTTTGCTTTTTGTGCGTACGAATGCACCGGCTCCGATGGAGGAAGTCGAGAAGCATGGACCGCGGGGCCTCCAGCAGGGCATCTTGACCGGGCTTGAGCGAGCGCAGGTCACTGAAGACGCCCTCTTCAAACTTCTTCCGGTCGCGGATCGGCTGTCTCTCGAGGCGGAATCGCCAGGTTATGACCTTGACGATGTCGGTGCCGGTAATGAGCCGGTCGTTGTTCCAGTGGACACAGGAGATGCACTCCTCGAAGAGGTGGAACTTGGCCAGGGCGCCGGGGCTAAACCTGAGAGTGCGCATGGGGATGTGGGGAGAGAAAGAGGGAAGGGGGAGGAAGGCAAAGGAAGGAAAGCGAGAACGAGTAAGCAGACATGCAGAAGGGGGAGGGGGAGGGGGAGAGAGAGAGGGGGGGAGAGACAGAGAGAGAGGGAGAGAGAGGGAGGGAGAGACAGAGAGAAGGAGAGACAGAGAGAGAGGGGGAGAGAGGGAGAATGGATGATCGGGCTGTGCCGTAACAGCACAAGTCATGCCCGTGTCCAGGACGCGCGATGCCGCGCCGGACTCCTGCAGGGGGAGATACACATGGGCGACGATGAAGTTGTGCACCGGGCCATTCCAGCTGCGCCAGAAGTACGCCTTCCGAGTGGCAGGGGTGAGGGAGAGAGGGGGGGGGGGGGATTAGATCAGGGAGTAAGGCCAGACAGGGAGAGTGGACATCATGGTGGGTGCGGGGCTCTCCGGCCATCTCGGGTGAACGACCAGCACCACGAGACATGAGGCAGAAGGAGAGAGAGATAGAGAGAGAGAGAGAGAGAGAGAGAGAGAACCCGACACGCACCATGGAAGTTTGCCGATGTTGGTGATGAAGTCTTGGAGCTGTTCGAGGACTCCGGCCGGGTTGGTCCTGGCAGACACCGTCGGAAAGAAGTCCACACCATTGGTGGACCGAGCCAGGAACACTGTGCGGGGATCCAGGTCGCCAGGCACGCCGGTCACCGCACTCGGACGACCGGCCGCCTGGCTGCCGGCCCCTCGCGACACCGGCTGGTCCGAATGTGCGAGCGCATCGCTCCAGGCATCGGTAGGGGAGTGGCTGTCCTCCTCGGTGCTAGCCTCTCGATCGGATCGGCTGTGCATGGCTGTCTGGGAGGCCGAGATGTCAGGGGCCGCGGCAGAGAGGGCGGGCGGGAAGAGGGCTGGCAGGGAGGACACCCGAAGACACTTTGGTAGCTGGACCACCATGCACAGGGCCGGGCCGAAGGGGGAGGAGATGCGGAACAGGAGGGATGCGAGGCAGGAGGGGGAGGCGAGGGTGCCCAGTGAGCGGGAGGCCGGTAAGTCCAGGAACAGGGGGGGGGGGAGGGGGGGCGAGGGAGGCCACGGGCGACAGTGGTGGCCGGCGGGCGAGGAAGGCACACCGGGGACGAGGGGACCCGGGGAAGCGAGGAGAAGGAGGAGGGGGAAAGGCGATCTGGCCGGGGCGGCAGATCGCGGCCGGAGGCTGGGGCCAGGTGCCCGGCCGGCACGACGTACCGGTCCGGAGGAACGCGAAGGGGGATGGAGGGGGGAAAGGGTGAGAGGGTGGCTGTGACACGCTCTCAGAGGGTGATGAGTGGCCTTTCTTCTTGTGAGGGCTCTTCTCGGGCGCGAAGCTCGAGGCGAGGGAGAGGCCGGTGGGTGGGGGTGGGGGGTCGGCACGCGAAGCG